TTAAGATTAAAAATATTATTTTAATTTAAATTAATTTATAAATTTAATTTTAATTAAATAATAAAAAAATATAAAACTTATATTAATGTAAGTGAATTTATACTCTTTTCAGAATTTATATTAATAACTTTTCGTTATCAATTTTATTGATAATATTGGATTTATTTTATTCTACCCACCATAAAAAAACATAGCATATTAAGTTTGTTGAGATATTTTTTGGTTGAGTAAAAGTGCGACTTATGAATTTATCAAATTTATTAAAAAATAAATGAAAGTTAGAAGACGAGAGAAGGTTACTTGATAAAGTCATTATCAGCTTTTTTTATACGGGAATATATCATTTATAAAAAATCAAGCAACTCAAAATTTCTTGTCACTTTCATATCACCCTGTTATAATTAGTTAGTTAAAAAATGGTGGGACTTGTTGAAAACTTCAAGCCTAGACCTAATCATTAAAAAAGAAAAATAAAATCAAGGTTTGCTATAAGACACTCGGATGGAACTTTATTATTATTATTATTATTTTCCTTCTCAATAACCAATTGAATTCGTGCTTTCTTAAAACCAAAAGCATACATCAAAATGTCGTCAATTTAATAATTTAAAATATAATATAAATATAAATATAAAATATAAAATAATATAATTTAAAATTTTATTAATAATTATATGTAAAATTAATAAAAGTAAAATATATATCTTTTAATTTTTATTGATATAAATTATTATATATAATTTTTACATAAAATATAATATAAATATATAAATTTTAATATTTTATGTAATATAAATATACAAATAGTCAAATTTATTCTAAGGTTTCGCCAAGGAGATATGGCAAAAGTCTCCATCCTTAATTGACTTCAATTTGCGGCAAATTTTTCAATTTCTGCCTCGTGCTTTGACAAATCAGTTTTATGTATATAAAAAATTATGTAGCAAGAATTAAAAAATTATATGTATTCAAATATAAATTTTAAATTTATTGAATATTATATTTTTTAATGATATATGCATTAAAAATCAATTAAATAAAAATTCAGGATCATGGACAAATCAATTTCCCTTCCTCAACAAGTAGCTTTTTTTTCAGCTGGCCCGACTTGATGTAATATGCCGGCATCCATCAATGAATGAAGTTTCTTTAATTACAATAAATAAATAAATAAATAAATAAACATGTTAATTATCCCCTAAACCTGAAAGCTGGCTATTTATTTTCATTTATTTTTTCTTTTTTGGAAAGGTTTACGGATTTTGAATTTTGATGATAAGAAGCTAACTTGTCCAAAAACATGTTGAACAAGTGGTGTTAAATGTTTAATGATATTTAATTTGATTAGGGTTCATAAATAAGAGAGCTAGATTATATTATTTGTTGAGAAACTAGTAAATAATTGCATTTATTTGGATAATAAAGTTTGATTTTTGTACCCTGTGTTTGCCTTCCATTAATTTGGATAATAAAAATTTTCTTATCAAGCTATAATGAATGTAATAAAACCTATCTATAAGTGATAATTAGAGATATTTATAAGTCAAGTCGAGTTTAAATTGAGCTCATATTTGATATTAATAGTTTATATGCTTATTTAAATTTAATTAGATCTCGTATTTCGGATTTTAAAATTTTTAAAACTCGACTTAAATTAAAAAAATAAATCTTTAAATTAATTCATTAAACACAAATTATATAATAAAAAATAAAAAAATCCTTTTAAAAATAAATATTAAAATAAAAATTACATATATATAATTATAATATTTTAATTATATATTTTTTATTCATATCAAAATTTCATTTTTTTATCTTAGATTCAACTTAAAATTTAATCGAACTTAAAAATTATATTTAAATTCATTCAATTGTTTTTAATTTTTTATCAAATATTCTTAAAAATTGAACAAATCTTTGAATTTAGTCAAATAGCTTGATCATTGAATAAATATAATTATAACCAACCAATAATCATTTAAACACATTGGCAAACACATGAAGTCACCATCCAAAGAAACTTAAAACAATGGTATAAAAATTGAACTCTTTCAGACCCTCCAAATGCCCCAAAGTGCTTCAACCCCAAGTAACCAAAATAAAAGGTTGGCGTTAATTAAATTTAAAAAAAAAAATTGTTTTTTATATATTAAAATTCTAAATTTTTAATAATAATAATAAAAAAAGAAACCGGACTTGCAAGGCAAGCCAGCTCTGGTATGCAAATCTTTCTTCGCTTTCTGTCTACGTTTTCTTAGTTAGCTCCACAGTCTCCCACTATCACTGCCTTGGTTTCTCTGAAGTGGAAATATTTGCCATTTGATTGAGATCCTACGGTGAGGTAAGCAATCAGTTGCTGCCTGAAATTGTAATTGCCTTACCAAGCAAAACCCTCCGTCATCATCGGGAATCTTTTTCAAGAGGAATATTCTCCAAAAGGTTTAATAAAATAATGATTTTTTAAAAAATCCAATGTCAAACAATATTTTTTTGGGACTAGATATATAAGTAAAAAATTATAAATACTATAAAGATTACATAATTACCCATGTGCTTCATTTTAGATTATTACCCAAAAAAATAAAAGACTTTATTCTTTGTTTCAAATAAAATATGATTCTAAATTTATGGTTCTTAATTAAATTTGCTTCAACTCAAAAAACACGTTTTATAGTAGCAATAAATGTATAAGTGATTGAAATTTTGAAAATAACTTAATTAAAAAAAATTGATGTTTGTCTTTTGCTTTTTATTTTAAAAAAATGAACCTAAAAAATCCACATGTTTTGAAATTTCTCTATCACACCTTTAAAAATGATTTTAAAGAAATAAAGATTTAATGTGACATAATAATTTAGAAACATACTTGTTGAATAATTTTTAATATGATAGATGATGGATTCAATAGAAGCGGAGATGAAAAATATATTAAATTTGTTAGAAAAAAAGAGGGTTAAATGTTATCAGATATAATATTTTGAGTCATTTTGATATTTAAATCATAAAATATATATATATAAAAGAAATAAATTAGAAAGTTTTGAGAGAAAGTAGAGAGAGAATTAAGTTGTATTATGATATCTTTTGATCTAATCCTATCTTTTATATTTTATAAATAATGAAGATATTAATTGAATTTCTTCACAATCTAACAATATGCAGCTTAAAAAAATAAATATTTATTTTTACATATTTTTTAATTTCATAAAAGTTTCCAAAAAAAAAAGGAAAGAAAACGATGTCACAATGAGGCCGTAACCATGCCTTAAAAATGTAGTAGTGACCAAAGCATGAGCAGGGCCTAGCACCGGAGAATCACATGGACAAGTTTGACCAAATCATGATTTTCTAAACAAGTACCCTAATTCGACGGCCATGATCTGTTGGTTGAGAAAATTTAGGATCCTTGGACCATAAAACGTGAAAAAACATGCAATATCCCAAAATAAGTGAAAAAAAAAAAAACCAACCGAATTCAAAGCTCAATTAAACTAAAGATTTGAGCAAGAAATAAAATAAAAAATAAATATGATTTATTTCACAAATATCGAAATTAATTGTCACTATTTTAATCGAACATGTTTAATCACGTCAGAGAAAAACACGGTTCGAGTGTCTCACGGAGAGATCTGCTGGCCTGCTGTATCCAATCCTAACCCGTATCTCACTTAACTTCCAGCATCCAACGAAAACCTGTCAATTTAGGCGCAAAACATAATAAGTCAGAAAACGTGCCTCACACGACTAGGTCTAAACTCTAAACTTATGAGCACAGTTTTTGGGTCTTCCGACCAATTAAATGCGACCACGCTAGATGTACCTACATTTTTTCCTAATGGACAAATTTGTCCTTTCAGAGATCGCGACCGTACTAAAAGGAATATGAATATACAATTCGATCGAACGTTTGGGGTTCGAATCTTCAATTTCTCAGCTTTTTTTTCTTCTTTTTTGTTAAAAGTACCGTCGATCCAAATAATTTCTTTTCTAAAAGAATCGAAATGACGAGAAAGGCGAAGGTACGCATTTGTAGTGAACAAATCAAGAAAATCAGAGGGTAAAAAGGGAAATTGAGTGGATTCATAAGTCAAAGTAAAGATCCAAAGATTGCATTACACTACGAAATACAAGAGAGCCGATGTGATCGGTGCGTTGTCAAGTGCGGACGTCATAATTCCGTTTGGCTAAACTAAAACTTTATTATCAAGCCACAAAGGGTCCAATTTGCCGACGTGGATAGATCCTTCACCGTTGATAAAAATATACCGTCCTCTTCCTCATTCTTGATTCGAAGACACGCAAAAGGGCAGTGGCCTCGGTAGAGGTGGCATGGAGCTGGACGTATGAACTACCACGATTGGAGATCTAGCGACATTTGGCAGATTCAATAGTAGATTGGATGTGAGAATTGGGATTTCATCGAATTTGGTTTAAATTTGTTGGGTAATATATAATATTATAAATTTTAAAATTTGATTTAAATTTAAATTAATTTTTTATTAAAATCGATTTAATTTAAATTTAATTTTATTAATTTTTAAATTTTAATTTTTTTATTTTTTATATATTACTTTAATAAAAATTTTAATATATTTAAATAAATTTATATATAAAATAATTATTTTATTTTATAAAATTTTAAAATATACATATAAAAATTAATAAAAATATATAATTTAATTCGATTCATTTTTTTAATTTTTGTATTTTAATATAAATCTAATATATATTTAATATTTAAATTTAATTTAAATTAAATAAAAAAATTCAAATCTAATTAAATATTATTATTTTAAATCGATTTTTAATTTAAAAAAAAATTTTCACCCCTAATGTAAGAAAAATAGGTCAAGCGGGAGGGCGTTACTCGGCCATGTGACCTTTTTTCCTTTTTTTTTTTTCTTTGCGTATGCTAGGGGCGTGGTTTGACTGATTTCGACTTTCGATATTATAAAAAAAAAACTTACAAAAAAAATATTAATTAATGTAGTCCATAAATATAGGGGAGCATTAGAAGAAAGGGGGGGTTCAGGACGAGGCGTGGTTTGCGCTATGTAACTCTGTTCTTTTTCTGGAGACAAAAACAAGGGAAAGGAAAAAAAAAAAAAAAAAGAGAGAAATAAGAGTTTGGTGAGGGGGTTGTTATTAGGGATTTCGTCGAAGGTATTACAAAGTGGAAGAGTTTTAAGAGTATCTGGCATTTGGCCTCGTTTGATTCAGCCAAGACCGTTTTTGGTTTCCAAGGTCTTTCCAGAAATACAAGGTTTGTTTCTTGAAGTTGTTTCTTTAGTGAAGTTTTCAATCTTTTTTGGATTCTTCAAGATACAGCAAACCAAGAAGAAAGAGAAGAGAAAAAATGGAGTGGCATGCTTGTCTTGATGAATATGAGAAGCTTGTTATAAGGATGAGCACTCCCAGGTTTGTAATCTTAGTTTCTTTTCTTCAAATCAAACAAAAATTCACAAAACTTTTTGTTGTGAGTCAGTGGTTTTGCAACAAAAACTAGTTGTGGGTTTTCCTGTTGATTTTGCCTTATAATTCGAGCTCCCTGGGATTTTGGGTTTGAACTCTGTTATGGGCTTTTGATTTTCACCTTATTTTTTGATCATCTGTTCTAAACCCTCCAATTTCTTTATCACATGTTTCCTTTTGCTTTCACTGTTCTTCTCTGTTCTGGCTTCAAGCAAGGTCTCTGCTTTTAATTTGGAACAGTATCTCTTCATACTTATGGAAACTAGTTAACAGAATCAATTCCAAACTTTAACCAATTGTCACAATTTTTTAATTAAAATTATTAACATTTATACAATTTTCATTTTTGTAATAATTCCTTGACATTTTCTTTTTCTTTTCCTTCGTATTTTCCAAAAGGTCATCAAATCTTCCTTAGACCTTTCAAAGATCACATTCATAAAAATTTTCTTCCTTCTGAAGTGTGAATAATTTGAAAAAGAAAAAAACTTAATAGAAAGTACATTTCCAGACTTGACCTTTTCTTTTTACTGTTGTTACAGGGTCTTGATCGACAATGACGTTTGCGCCACCGCAACTGTGGTCAAGGTGGGCTTCCACTAAACATCTCAGATATAAACGCACCGCACAAATTGCTGTCTTTTCTTTATTATTTCCCAAAATTTTGACTTGTGGTCCTCTTTTGTGCTTTGAGTTTTCAGAACCTTTGACTCATTCCTTCCTCGTACTTCGATTCCTCAGGTTGTTAGTGCTAGAAGACACGGAATTTTGTTAGACGCTGTTCAGGTTTTAACGGATCTGAATCTTTCAATTGAGAAGGCTAACATTTCATCTGATGGCCAATGGTTCATGGTTGGTAAGCTGAATTTACTGAAAAAAAACGATTTTTGAGATAAAATTTGTTCCTTTGGCAGGTTACTATTTCTGGGTGTTACTTGAAATCGTTGATACTGAAATTTTCCTTTTGGATTTGCAGTTTTCCACGTTACTGATTTAAACGGAAAGAAATTGACTGATGAGAGCGTTATTAGCTACATTGAACAGGTAGTTATTACACTTCATTTAATTTTTTTATTAATGCCCTTTATGCTTGCTTAATTTGCCATGAAACTGATTTTTGTTTTGTTTTATTTTGTCTGCGTTACAGTCCCTTGAGACCACTTACCCCGATAGAAGCCATGGATTTAATGGCTTAACAGCTTTGGAATTGACGGGAACAGATAGAGTTGGTCTTTTATCAGAAGTATTTGCAGTTTTAGCTGATCTGCAATGCAGTGTGGTAGATGCTAAAATATGGACTCATAATGGTCGAATCGCATCTTTAATTTATGTAAAAGACTGCAATTCAGGGTCCCCAATTGAGGACTCACAGCACATTGACAGAATCATAGCACGTTTAAGGAATGTTTTGAAAGGAGACAATGATACTCCTAGTGCGAAAACTTCAGTTTCTTTGGCTGTAACCCACACTGAGAGAAGGTTACATCAAATGATGTTTGCAGATCGTGACTATGAAAGAAAGCCTACTTTGCAACATAGGGCGGAATCAGCTGCGGTCACCGTGCAAAATTGGGTGAAAAGGAGTTATTCAGTTGTGAATGTTCAGTGCAAGGATCGAAACAAGCTTTTGTTTGATATTGTTTGCACATTGACAGATATGCAATATGTTGTGTTTCATGCCACCATCAACACAGCTGGGGATAAAGCATATCTGGTACTTAATTGTTTTGTTATTAATCTTCTTTAAGACTTTGGTTACGTGACTTCAGTCCGTTTGTTGACTTAAATTTGTTTATTCTTCTTACAGGAATTCTGTATTAAGCACATAGATGGAACCCCAATTAGTTCAGAAGCTGAGAAACAACGTGTAATCCTTTGCTTACAAGCTGCAATTGAAAGGAGAGCATCTAAGGTATATTTCTATTCCAAGTCATTTCTGTATTTAGCAGTTGAATCTTTAAATTTTTGGCGTTTATCCCATATTCCAAGCACTGATGCGTTGTTTGTGTCATTCCAGGGTGTAAGGCTGGAGTTATGCATATCAGATAGGCAGGGTCTATTAGCAGAAGTGACCCGAACGTTTAGAGAAAACAGTCTTAACGTGACAAGAGCCGAAATATCAACCAGGAGGGACATGGCTCTAAACGTTTTTTATGTAACAGATGCAATCGGGAACCAAGCAGATCCCAAAATCATTGAATCAATAAGACAAAAGATTGGTTTAGGGAACTTAAAGGTGCAGGAACTACCATTGATTTATCATCAAAATGCAGAAAGCGAAGAGCAAGCAGTAGGGGTTGGTGGGGCAGTGTTGTCATCACTTGGGAGCCTAGTGAGAAGGAATCTATACAATTTGGGGTTGAGTAAATCCTTTTCTTGAAGCCGTAAACTCCAGGGCAACAATATTTGGAGATATTTGTTCAGTGCTCTTTGGATGGCAATTGGCATATTCTTTGCTTCAGGTTTTGGCTTTGGCCTTTGTGTACATATGAAAAAGTTGGAATTTGATGATAGTTGTTGTGAACTTGTGATAGTTGGGTTTCGGTTAGTTGAATAGACAGAACCACATGGAGAAGATTGGGGCAGCTCCATCAAAATTTTTTAATCACCCACCAATGCCTGGTTTGGAGGAAGAATTTGAATGACGGTGGAAAACAGAAGAAAAGTTAAAACAATGGTGGGGTCTGTGAATTTGTGCTATAGATTTATTGCTGGCGGAGAAGATTAGGTAGAAGAAAAATATGGTATATTATACACGACATCTGTACATAACTTTTTAAAGTATTAATATTAATTATAACGGTTGACTGGGTTTTTTTATATTTTTACTGGCTACTTTTTTCTGCTTGGCTCCATTTGTTTGAAGGAAGAATCATATGGGCCTAACCTTCTAGATTAAAAAGAATCCTTTGCCAAAGGTAATCGATCAAGATGTTCTTGTCTAATCAGCAGATTTTTAAGCAAGTTGGAACCAATCAAGGGGGAAAAAAAAAGAAAAAATGATGTAATTCAACAGTGTTTTGCTGATCTTTGAAAGGGAATCCTATTTATATTTCCTTTTTTTTATTCTTAATATCTTATTTTTATTTATAATAAAAATAATTTATATCTTTAACTGTTTGATTTAATAATTAAGATAATATTAAAAAAGATATCAATTGTAATTCGAATTTCAATATTTGAATGATTAAAAAATAATAATAAATTATACCTCATTCACCGTAACGTTGAAAAAGTTTTGGTATAGGAGGGAGTATTACCTATCTAACCAAGCAACTACTTTTTCTTTAGGCCCTAAATCCAACCAACAACTTTAAACCAAGTCAAGTGGCATAAAATTCCAAATTAAACATAAATTTTAACCAGATTTGAGCTGGTATTGGCCAGCCATTCAAAAGTTTGGTGGCAGTTAGGTGATCAAACTATTCCAGTGTAACCTAACTTCTTACTTTTTTTCAACGGAAATCGTCGCATTTAAGAAATATTTTAAAAAAATCATAAGTTTTAAAATTTAAATAATTATATATATTAATTAAAATAAAAATTAATATTTGATATATTATTAGTGTAAAATTTTGATTATACAAGTGAGATTAAAAAATAATATATATTTATTAAGATATATTTAAAAATAAAATTTTAATTAAAAAAAAAAAGTCTCATCTTTTTAATCCTATTTGTATAATTAAAATTTTACTAAGACAATATAACTCTTAAAATAAACCCTAAATTTGTATAGCCTAACTTGGTAGAGTTAGTACCAAGTCTTGCAACAATTAATAAACCAGCATAGACCAGCGATTATGGAAGAAATTTATGGTGGATGGTTAATTATGAATTCCATAACGGTCTGCACCCGCTGTCGGCTATAATTACCTCATCAAAGTTAATTAAACCTAAATGTAATTTATACCTTCCTGCTAAAATGTTAGTGTGCCTGCATTTTAAATCAGTCCATTCTTATTTGATAAAGCATCTATATAACAACTAAATAACTGGAATATCAATGTTAAAGACCCTGTTTATGCTTGGCTTGAGCTTGGAAGAACCCTTGTTTATTGTAATTGTTGTGCTTATTGTGATGAACTTGTGCTTTCCCTCTCTATATTCCCACTAATTCAAATAGATATGGCATTTGGCTGATGATGGATAAGTTCTTTCTTGTTGTATTGCTTTGAAATCCTAGTTAAAATCCCATTTTAGTAAGGAAACTTGACAAGCAGGGCAGCCAATGGTTGAGTAGATTAGCTGTCCCATGTCAGCTATCACACTTTAAAACTTAGATGATAGTAATATTTGTCTGATTACTTCTGAAAAATCCAAATTAATCAGTTGGATCATTGAACTTTGATAATCGATCGATAGAGCCAATGGCTAATTAGCACTAGTTAGCTGTAAAAAATAAGTGTGATTTGTTAATAAAATTTTAGACTAATTTTAATTTCAATAATGGTATTCAAATCCTATAACTTCCAATAAAAAAATTATAATTTTTCGCTTTAAGAAATAAACTAATTGAATCAAATTGGCATAGAAAGTGGCAGGTAGCAGTCAAAGAAGGCAAAAACACAAGGGGAAAGTCGGCAGCTTGTCTTTACCATGTTTTTATCTGTCCAAGGAAAACACCACCCATTCCCGACATTCAATCGATCCCCCGAAGAGGAAGGTTTCATTGTTGTAGCTTTGGATTCAACTCCCTTCTCTTCTTTTCTTTTCTTTTTTTTTTTTAATTTAAAATTTCAAGATATTCCCCTCTTCCCCTCACTATATAATGTTAAACTCCTTTCCATTATCGGTCAGCTTTGGTTTTATAAAATAGCAAATAGAAATAGGCCATCTATTACTTTTATAAATGTGATAAGCAAAAAAGAATAATAGATTTTTTTTTGTTTTGTTTTTGGGATTTATCTTGATAGATTTGTTCTTTGGTTGTGCAACATTTATCCATAATAATTAACCACAAAAAGTACACATGTTTTTTTTAAAGAAAAATTTAAAAATAAATAAATTATTTAATTTTTCAAATCAAAATAAAATATATGGTATCCGATAATTAAAAAATAATAATTACAAATTATATATTCGAAATTATTCTAATAAAAGATCATCAGTTAAATTCAAATCTAAAATCATTTATATTGAAAAAATCGAACTTATCAATTAAGTAAACTTGTTGTTTTGCATGTTTCTACCATTCTTTTGATACCCTTAGTTTAAAAATTATAAAAAAACGAAACAATATAAGCAAAAGAATTACAAAGTTCAATAAATGCATGCAAGTGGGTAGAAACTAGAAAAAAGAAAGCAATAAACCACTACCTCAAAGCCTCAAACAGCTGTAAAGAATTTGGCAATTTCACAATTTCAAAACAAAATCAAATCTTTTGTCATTGACCCATTAACTTATGGGGAGTGAATTGTTCCTTTCCCTTTCCCATTACAGAAAATTTTCTTCCTTTTTGTTCTCACATGACATTAGAAGAGACAATTTCTTTCTTCTCTTCATCCCAACTCCAAGCAAAGTCTTTGGTTCATAAATCAAAATCCCTTTGTGGTCCACAATGGGAATTTGAAGAAAGAAATGGAAGTTTTGTCAATGTGAAAGTTGAAGTTGGTGGTAAACAACTAAGACGACTTTGACCTTAAAAGGATGTTCTAGTTAGCTATATTGCACATAGAAAATTGGGGTTTAACAGTTAACCGCGTAAGCTTCGGGGTTAGAACTTAGAGCCCGACCCTGTGGCTCACATGCCGGCAAGTGCGCCGGATAAGATGGGTATCTTAGCTGGCCCCTTTGGCTCAGGGAAGCATGAAAGAGAAAGAGACACTGACACTGTTGGAGTCACATGCCCTAATAAGGCTAAGTGTGATGGTCGCATGCTGCAAACTCCCTAGGGTTGGAAGGAGTGGTAAACCCTCCCAAAGGCACAATGGACGAAGCTTCCTAAACAAAATTTTATACGTAAGAATTTAGGTGGAATTTGTGCAAAGTAGCCGATAGATTTATAGATGTAACTTTATTGAGATTGACAGTACATGGATTACATGTAACTTTATGCTAGATTCCTTTTTTTTTTTTTTTGCTCCAAAATATAACATAGAGACCTTCTATTCCGCAATCCATCTTACATAAAGGAACCACCATAATGCAATCTTTAATTTAAGATATTAAAATGCTTCTACAACCATTAATATTAAGTCAATCAAAAAGCAAGTAGAAATTCCAAATTAATCCATTAGATTCAAAGGTAGTACGTATTTGGAATGATTATTATTATCACAAAAAAGAGTAATAATTGGGTGTTTTGAAAAGTTTGGAATCATATTCTAAAATTAGTAACTCTTAATAAAGAAAGAGAATTGATATACTGCTTTTTATATCACCCATCTAACCATCGAGCTAACTGTAAAAATGGATTAGGTTTAATACAATGGGTTGAAGAGGAAAGAAGAGTAAAAATTGCAAATATACATTATATATATATATATATGTATGTATTTATGTTAAGTAAGGTATCTCAAATTTTGTTTAAATTTAATTTTCTCGTCAAATAATTTTAAAGTCATACTTATGATGCATACATAGGATTTCGCTCTCAAAAGTATTCTGTTTGTGTATTGTTCTCTCCGTCATTTATTACGACGACAAGGATCCAGCTCAACCCATCCATCTCTCTTTTGAATGCGTTTAACTACCTGGGAAAAAGACAGGAAAAAATCCAAGAGAGTAGGGTACTAAAGTTACAAAAAAAGCCTAATATGTTATTGCAATTTATGTTGTTTTCATTTTGGTAATCAGCTATCATTCCACTTTAAATTGCAGGATCATTTATCCAAGATTTTTTGGAAGATATTTAAATTATCCAACAAAGCAATTGCTTTGTAGAGAGGTTTGTTTGGATATGGTTAGCCCTTTTCTTTTTGTAATAAGATTCTCTATAATTTTATGCTCTAATTTGTCTATGGCTTTTTCCTTAGATCTTGTTCACATAGCTTTGAAGTTCTTGTTTATCCACAATTATTGACAAAAAACCTTTTTTTTTTTTAATTGTATAAAAGAGTTCATAGTTTACGATAAGAGAATGGATCGGAATTTGAATTTAAAATCTTTTAAATGTTACATTTTAAAGATAAAATATGAACTAATTGAGTTAAATATTAAATTCAGAAAGCATTTTCTGTAAAGGAAATTCTTGGACTCACTTAATTTGTTAACTAACTAAAAATACTAATAATATAATATTACCACACATCTCAAAGAACATTTAGCTACATACACAATCTCCATTTAATCAGAAGCCCTATTCTCCCTACTTTATTGATCATAACAACAGAAGCTAGCTATCTCTTTTCTACTTACAAGGGCCTATCTTTGATTTTCTATTTATCCTGTGAAGTGTGATCTCAATATTTTTGAAGAAAAGGATCATCAGTTTACAAGATCAATTTGAGATAACTAACTCTTGTTTAGAATGGCTTTTGTTTTACGATAATACTTTTTTATTTAATTTTCAAATCAATATTATTTTTATGGTGCATAGTCAAGTACAGTTAGCTAGGATGCCCTCATAATATTATTAACCAGGCTACACATTTATTTCGTCTTGAATTTAGGTGCCTCTCAAAAGTTTTGAGTCCTTTGGATATGTACTTGAATATAGGTTGTTTTGTTAATATCACATTCATGGTGGCAGGGTGGCATTTGGTTCCTTTGCCTGCTTCTTTTAAATGCTCTTCATGCTTTATGCCACACTGTAATTTATTGCCAACAGGTAGGAATGTCAACGCTCATTAACCCAAATGTCTACTTTCCAACCCCTCCTACTGTAACCAATTTGGACAGTTGCATGCCCATTTCAGCAATAATGTCCAATAAAAGACAACACCCTACAAATCTACCTACTTCAATGGCAGACAGAGCTTTTCTGCAGATATCATTGGGTAATGCTGATACAAATGAATAGACTATTAGTTTCAGTGACAGTTCTTAAAGTATATATTTGCTGCTTTCTATATTTTAAATGTTGAAAAGGAA